TGTATATATATATATACATATATATATACATATATATATATATACACACATGCTGTTAGTTTAAATATATTGAATGAACCCTGAATACATTAGATAAAAGTTTGAGTATATATATAATGAAACTTGATGCCTTTGACCACACTGCCCCAATCAGGGCGGAGCTAGGCCTGCTACAACCTCCAGGAACCTGTATATGTTTTGCCCACGTAGCGTAGTGTAAAAAGTATATATTAAAAAAAAAAAAACAGCAATGCAACCCAAGCAGCTTCAATATAAACGTCTTTCTTTATTCACTCTTTGTTGCGTCTCTTCTTCTTTTTTTACGGACCTCGCTACACTCCCAAAATGGAAGAAAGCATGGCCAATCGAATACAGAACAATGCATTTGCCGCTAATCGACAAGGAACCTGTAGACAAATGTAATCATATTTTAAAGGCAACACCGCGTAATGTGTTCGCTATCAAACAAAATATCCTAAGATAAAAGTTAACATAAATCAATCTTTTCATTATCCTGGCTCTTTTCCGTTATGGAAGACATAAGTAATCAATTGTCAGCACAGTGGACAGCTATTTAAATAATAATAATAACACATTTAAATTATATATATTTACAACTTATTAAAACCTTTTTTGTCACCCTTATCATTACGTTACTCTGAATCCCTCACCAAAATGAACTTAGATTTTCCACCATTTTATATTCATTACATTTTCTATTACACAGCATTAACTGTTTTCCTTTGTAAAACTTGGGTTACAAATACAACCACGACATATACAATCTCTGCCTGTATAGAAAGTGCCCAAGACAAAAGAGAAAAGATTTACTGAAAACTAGAGGGCTCTCAGTAGAGTGCCTATAAAGATATAGCTGCTATAGCTATCTTAGTTCCGAAACGTCAGTCAAATAATTGCAATGTCTAAACGTGAGGCCGATGCCTTTTAAAAAGACATGACAAGACAAATATATTACATATTACCATCTATAACATGTACAGTATGTACAGGAGTAGTGTGTGAGCTTTGTGGACAGAGAAGTGGGAAAAGCTATATAAAAAAGCTTCATAAGAAAGCAGAGCTGTGTGTAGAGGTCTGTATGTATGTAGCTTGTATGTAGCTATTGTTTTCAGGCGATTTAATGAAGGTAAAACACTGTAAATGGCCACGCGTAATGGCACTGGATTTCGTGAACTCGTAGAAAAGCTCTTCATATTGTTTTTTCGATACAGTTAGAATCACCCACATCCGTAGACCAATGCAGGCTAAATATTTAGCTTAGTATTAAATGCTGGCTTTTTGTTGATCAATGACACATTGTCAGCTTTTGGCAGACTGTGGACATACAGACAAATGCATAATGAGATTATGCCTAAGGGAGAAATGTATTTTTCAAATTTATATTTCAAATTGATCGGGCATCGACCCCGCATTTACACATTGCATCTATTGCTCTGATGTTTTGGAATAGTTTCTCTCTAATATTACATGCCTGGTGGAGATCTGAACTAAGATATAGCAGCTATATCCTTACTGTATATGCACTTTACTATTCTTACCTCTTTTGTCTTGGGCTTTTGAGCTAAGGGTGTAAGTTAATGGCAGTGCTCACATAAATATAGAGGAAGATGATTGCAATTCACACTATGCACATCTTTATCCATTTGGAGTTCAAAATTAGACTGAGAAGTTGACGACTTGTCTCTCTTCTCCTCAAGGACTTAACTGATTCTGACCCCGAGCCATCCACGGTCGAGCGGGTCGGAGCTGGTCCTGGCTCCGGGTTTAAGTGGGAACACAGTGTAAGTGAACCTTCCTTCACACAGATTTGCTTTGCCTTACAGTACTTTCTCTTAACAGTTTATCTTTAGCTTATTTGTCCAACAACATTAAACATTACAAATATTATCTGCAGAGGTGTGGACTCGAGTCTCATGACTTGGACTCGAGTCAGACTCGAGTCATCAATTTGATGACTTTAGACTCGACTTGACAAAATGTAAAGAGACTTGGAACTCGACTTGGACTTTAACATCAATGACTCATGACTTCACTTGGATTTGAGCCCTTTGACTCGACAAGACTTGATACTTTCTCCAAAACCCAAAGATTATAAAGTAAGTTATTGAGGAGCGCTCAACATCCAATCAAATTAGACCCACGTTTTTTTGACGCAATAATATCGAGCCAAACAAAAGGCGGGACAAGCAATGAGAAAGAGCTGTCGAACAATGCGCGGGTTAGAGAAAATGGTACCAAAGATCGTGTTGTTCGGATTTAAAAACTACGATATGGTCAACAAAAAACGAGTGGCAGTGAGTGGAAGGACTCGAAAGGACTCGAAACAGAAACGGCAGGACTTGGCACTTGACTTGACACTTTTCAGTCTTGACTTGGATTCGACTCGGACTTTGCCTATTTTGACTTGAGACTTGATTTGGACTTGAGTGAAAAGACTTGAGACTTGCTTGTGTCTTGCAAAGCAATAACTTGGTCCCACCTCTGATTATCTGTATTTTGATCATTGGTCATTTGGTCATTTTGCTAATGCGTTTGAATTGGATGTCAACTATGAGAAGCCCAGAGGTAGACTTGTTTAGCAGTTGCAAGAAATATCCCCAAATGAGTCTTATGCTCTCTGGAAAAGACTGTCCATGGTTATTACGACAAACTACCAATTTTAGTGATTGAATTAAGTAGTACTCATGGATTCATAAGTCTGTTTTCAACTATAAAATGGTCTATAAGGTAATGATGTTTTTACCATTCTAAAAACAAATATGAAAGGAAATTGAACTCATTGTCATTGTGACATTATCAAAGTGAACAGTGAGCAGCTTTTTTTTTTGATACAGTGTTCCCTCTGTATATCTCAGTTCTCCTTTCTTGCATAATGTTTGCTATGTCCAAAATATAGCAAAAAAATAAACAAAGATATTATAAAATAATTATATGTACGAAAGTTTTGGCCCTAAAAATGTAGATTCTCATTTTGAAGTTGAGATAAGCCCATTTGCGAACAATCACTGGTAGCTTCGTTTATCTAGACGAGATTTACACAGCATACTATTGGCTAATACAATGGGTACTCGGTGTATTATTGACTAATTGAGCATGCTCTTTATGTTCATGTTCCTCACACTGATTAGCTCAAGCTAATTTGTCTGTCGGCCACTCTGTCGTTCACTTCACTCCGCTGTGCATATGATTCTGTAGGAAAGAGTAGTACAGTCTAGGGAGGGGTGATAACAGTGTGGGGTAAATATATACGTAAATAATATAATAATTATGCATTAATGCATCTACTTCGCGATTTTTCGTATTTTGCGCTGGGTCTTTGAATGCAACTATCGCGATTGGCAAGGGATCACTGTATGATATTTGCAGAAGCCAACTGAACCCAACTTTGATATAATTTGAGAATGCATGTCTGTATGTAGTTAAAATGATATTGACAACATAACTTTCATTTGAATTTAGTTTTATGTTCAAGTTTAATAATTATATTAAGTTCTTTTTTTATAAATGTCTATATTTCTTTGGTAAATTAGTCTGACTTATATTTTAAACTGGCTTAAGCTCAGGTGTTCAGTGCATGCACTAAAAAGAAATCTATTTTTTTGACAAGCCCCCTTTTGAGGAATCCTATCAGTTTCTTTCTGTTAATGCAGAGCAAAAACTTCTACTAAACTGGAATTGTGACAGGACCCAATCACTAACTTCACATTAATTAGCACATAACACTGATGAGCCTCATATTGTGAATGGACTAAACATCTCTAAGCGGCAGACACATCAGGAAAAACTAAGGCTTTGTTCTACCAATGAACATAAGTGCATTGACGTCAATGCACTTATGTTCCGACTGGCATATTGGGATCTGAAAAAACTGAAACTGGTGGGGCAGGACTGTCATTATGACTCGGCTTCCCGAATTGTTTCTCAAGCATTACGTTATTTTCTTTTGCACCGCGTGGGCGATGATATGTTAGATTGATATAGCAGCTGAGTTACCTATTGAATTGTACACTTGTACACTGTTTTGTGTTAAATGTGTAAACTATAGTACGTATATACAACATTACAGCAACCATGGAAAGGGTAAGGTGGGTAAGGATTTTTTATTATTTCTAGTGGCGCATCTGTGGCAATGGCCTGTGTGTACACACCTACGTGGGAGGATGATAAATTCATTTTAATATTTTTTCTCCCCTTCCTGCCAAAATAAACAAAATAACCATTTTCAACAGTGATTTTAGGCAGGTTTGGGCAGGTCTTTATCTAACCCCTAGGTTTTATCCAAATCATCTGAAGTTCTTCTTGCTTATAAATGCAGTATAGTTTATTGAGACCTAAATCTCTATTTTTGAATAGACTGTTTTCTGTTGGATAGATATTTTAACAGGGGTTTGTTCCTGTGAATACTACTGTTATATCTGACCAACTTTAGTCCAAATTTGATTTGTTATCAACAAAACTCAAGAGTGATTGTTTCTGGCCAAAGTTTTTTGTATACGGTGGCAAAAAGCTTTTAGCGCATCAAGCATATGCAACTACACTATCATGGCTGACCCCCAGGATTCAGTCCACAACTGGTGAAATTTCTGCAGACCCTAGATAGATAAAAAACATGTCACTCCAAAATGGTAAAATTCCAGGCCCAGTCGGGTTCACTGTTAAGTTCTTTAAACAGTTTCCTGCAAACATTACAAGAGTCTTTCAAAAAATTTACAATGAGTTCTTAATTAAATGTCACCTGTTATGGGTTCTAAATTTTGATTTAAATGTTTTGGCAAAGATCCTAGCCCTTCACCTTCAACGGGTCCTAGTGTAATGTGAATTGATATTGAGATGTCTTCGACTTTACTTTTCATGCATTTTGCCAATACCTATTTTTTTTTACTTATAACCCTAGCCCTAACCGCACTTATAATTAGAAAAACAAAAACAGTCTGCATAAAAAAACTTGACCAAAAGTATTTATGTTTTAGCTGAATCGTATTTACCTAAGCAGTTGTTCTTGTTTAAACAGGGATTGGCACATAATATAGGGGTTGACGCATTCCTGATAACATTAGTTAAAATAAATAATTAACTGTATTGGAATCTGCTTTAGCAAATGAATGAAAATCAATGTTATCACATCTCACTAGAATAAATATCGGAGCCTACAAATGTTTAACTTCAAAATTTCACATATTACTCCTAATATTAATAATTTAAAGTGAGTTTTATTAAAGTAACTTCTCAATTGTCTTTTTTTCATTTAAGTTGATGCTGTTTGATTAAGATCATTAAAAGTCAGAGAATATTAGGTTTTGCTTAGATAAAAAACTACATGGAAAACAGTGCAAAGCTTTTTATGAAGACTAACAATGTAATAATTTTGTCTTTTTTTTTCATTGTATATGTTGTATGTATATTTCAAAATACTGTATCTCTTAAGTAATTTTCTGTTGCAGCCCATGAAAGATGACCCACATTTTCATCATTTCCTACTGAGCCAGTCTGAGAAGGTATAAGACACTGCAATACATTGTCTGTCTGTATTTTGTCCCAGTTTACATACAAAATATAGTTGTGCCAATAAGTCCACACAAGTTGACACAAATGGGTTTAAATGACAAAGGGGTAAACAGGAAAGGGATATAAAAAGATATCCAATACATGTCAATCAACAGCATTCAAACTAATAGGGATTCTGTTAAAAACAAATTATGGTCACAAATGCCAGGAAACTTGTTCGGCATGCAAACTTTCAGATGAACATAGAAAACAAATGTAGAACAGTTCAATGTAGGGCGTACAAAAGCCATCTTTACGTTCCAAAAAGAACCCGTGATAGGCAAAATCCGTGAAGTAGAAATCTTTATTTTTTTTACAATTAAATACTCAGAAAAAGAAGAGAAAGAACGAACAAACCATTTTACAGTCTCAACCATTTGTTTCACAAATAAAGTAAAATAAAAGTACTTTAGAAACGTTTCAACAAATAACTTCTGTAATGTACTGTCAAATAATAATTTTAATCATCAACGTGAACAGAAGGCTTCAAATTGCGGAGATTAGCACCGCCCACCGTGAACGGGAGAAAATTAAAAATGATTATGAAAAAAATACAAATTACCTGTACAGTCGGACAAATAGTGACTCAGCTTTATTTCACTGCTCTTCAGACTGAGCCGCTGCATCCTGACTCCGCTCTGCAGTGTTTTCTTCTTTTGAAGCCCGCGGTGCAGGTGTGTTTGTTCGGGAGAAGAACATAGTGATAGGCAGTTGTTGTCGCTCTTTTTTCTTCTTTGCAAAAAGATCCTTATACACCGACATGCCACCATCGATTATGTTGGAGAACTGTAATGAACGGCTCATCAAAGGGTCCCATTCTTGAGCTACTCGCTGAAGTTCAGTGGCCATTCTCACCATGGTTGCTAAGCGACCAAGTGTTAGTCCTTCCTCCTCATCTTTAGCCACACTTATGTCCTCTTCTTCCTCTTCTCTTTCATCGTCGCTTTGTGGCTTTGTCATTTCTGCCAGGTCTGCATCGGTCAGCGGATGTGCGTCTGCATCAATCAGGACATTTATGTCATCCGGACTCATGTCATTAAAGCCTTCTCCTCCAAGCTGTTTAGCA